ATCCCATCCCATCCCATCCCATCCCATCCTGTTCCATTCTTTCCTGTTCCATTCCCATCCCGTCCTGTTCCACCCCATCCAATTCTCTCCCATTTCTGTTTCATCTTGTCCCATATTGTCCTGCCCCATCCCATCCTGTCCTTATCCCATCCCATTCAATCATGTCCCATCCCACTCCCATTCCAGCCTGCCACATTCCTATCCCATCCCATCCAGCCTCACCCCATCTGATTCTGCCCCATTCCCATTTCATCTTGTCCTGTGACACCCTGCCCCATTCCATCCTGTCCCATCCCATTCTGTGGATCCCATCCCGTGGATCCATCCCATCCCATCCCATCCCATCCCATGGATCCCATCCCATGGATCCCATCCCATCCCATCCCATCCCATCCCATCCCATCCCATCCCATTCCCGCACGTGTGTAGTGCTGCACCAGCTCCCTGAGGCTGCCGAAGGGCGCGCGGGGGGAGATGTAGAAGCCGCCGCTGTCCAGGTTCCGGATCTTGTAGTGCTTCACCGTCTCTCCCTGGCTCTCATCCAGGTCCCGCACGGACAGCGAGTACGAGCCTGGGGACAGGGACACCCGTGGGACCCTGGCCCCTCCTGCACCCCCAGAGCCCGAGGGAGCTGCGGGCGGCACCTTTGGAAGTCTCGCTCTCCCGGATGAGGAAGGAGCCGTGGGTGTTTCCCGAGGCCAGGAGCTGCCGCTCGGCGTCCTTGCGGCTCATGTTCTTGAAGAACCACCTGGGAACACGGGGCGGGGTCAGGCCTGGGGGGACCCGGCCTTTGGGGTTTTGTGGGATGCTCCAGGCTCCTTTCCGGATCTGGGATCCCACCGGGACACGGCTGCTCCCTACTCACGGCTCGGGCTCCAGGCTGTTCACGAAGGCCACGAAGTTGTGGGGGATCAGCCCCTCCTGGCCCGTGGTGAGCGACTGCGCCTTCCACCACTCCCCATTCCTGCAAGGACACAGCGCAGTGAGACCCCCCCAGACCCTGCCCAGACCCCCGGGGCTGCAGGGACACCACTGGAATTCGCTCACTGTTCCAGGACACGGAGCCTCTCCCCCTTCCGCAGCCCCAGGTCCCCGTCGTGCTTGGGCTCGTAGTCGTACAGGGCCACCACCAGCTTATCTGGGGGGACAGGCAGAGGGACAAGGTGGCAGTGACCAGTTTGGGGGTGTCACAGCCACCCCATGCCACAGCTGGGCCTCACCTTGCATGGGGGAGCACGGAGGTGACGAGGGCTCGTAGGACACCAAAGGGTCTCGAACCTCAGAGCCGTTGCGGGTCAGCCTCTGCCAGGGGACAGGACCCCATGAGCCTGTGGGATTTGGCCACCTCTGGGGCTGTTTGGCCACCGGGGTTGGGGTCTGTCACCTCCTCCTCACCTGGCGCTTGCTGTCAGGCTCAATGGGGTAATTGCAGTGCTCGCAAATGTCGATGTTCTCGATCCAGTCCTCGTCATAGTCCGAGCTGCAGCAGCAGCCCATGGTGGCTGTGGGGGACAAAGGGGACACGGGGAGCCTTGGCATCCCCATCCCTGCCTCTCCTCTTGCTCCAGTGCATCCCCATCCATCCATCCATCCATCATCCATCCATCATCCATCCATCCATCCATCATCCATCCATCATCCATCCATCCATCATCCATCCATCATCCATCATCCATCCATCCATCCATCCATCCATCCATCCATCCATCCATCCATCATCCATCCATCCATCCATCCATCATCCATCCATCCATCCATCCATCATCCATCCATCATCCATCATCCATCCATCCATCCATCCATCATCCATCCATCATCCATCATCCATCCATCCATCATCCATCCATCATCCATCATCCATCATCCATCCATCATCCATCCATCCATCAACCATCATCCATCATCCACCTTCCCTCACCACCTGGCCCATCCCAGCTCCTCAGCTGAACTGGGGACATTCCCTGACTCTGTCACCAGCTTTCATTTTCTCCTCGTTTATCCTGCCTTCATTAATTAAAACCACTGAAGGCAATTCATCCCCAGCCTGAGGCTCCTGTGTCCCTGGCGCTGTGCACAGCGCCAGCTCTTCCCACCGTGCAGCTCTGGGGCTGATCCCTCTGCTCTCCCTGCAGATAACAACCTCATCATTAATACCCCATCAGCAATTAATAAACTCCCTCAGCTCGGCTTTAACGAGCTTTTGGCTGGACAAGCACTCCCTGATCCTAAAAGCAGCTTCTGGGCTCACAGCTGGATGTGGGCACTTCCAAATTCCTCTCCCTACGAATTCCCATCCTCTCCCCACATTCAGCCCCCGTTCTGCTGCATCAGGGATCTTCCTAAACCCCCATCCCTGCAACACCCAGGGCCCCCAAAACCCAGCCAGGGTCACACCTGTGTCCCTGTCACCACGGAGGGCAGAGCTCTGTCACCTCTGTCTTTCCTGAGAACGCTGAGCGTGGCACAAACCCGGGAGCGGCGCGTGGGCCACGGAAAAAGCTCTTCCGCAGAATCCCCCGTGCCCACGGGGCCGGAATTCATCTCCAGCCCCCCCTCCCCAGGCTCAGCTCCAGCGGCTCTTTAGGGGCCCAGGTGTGGTTTCCTCAGGTCTCGGGGGGGTTTTGTCACCGCGAGGCAGCCCAGGTGTGTCACCCCCACAGCCAAACCTCGCTGTGCCAGCTCTGACGTGGCAGCCAGGCCAAGCTCCGGCTCTGGCTGGGCTGAGAGATGCTTTCCTGGGATGCTGGTGTTGGGTTTTCCTTGTTTTCCTGTCTGGGAGCCTGAGTTTTCACCAGCATGCTCCAAAATCCAGTTTTTCCCACCGTGCCAAGGGGACACAGCAGCGGGGGCTTCGTTTGAGCCTTGCAGGGCATCTTTAGGGAGGGTTTGGGGTTTCCAGGGAGGGTTTGGGGTCTCCAAGGAAAGTTTGGGGTCTCCAAGGGGGGTTTGGGGTCTCCAAGGAAAGTTTGGGGTCCCCAGGGGGGGTTTGGGGTCTCCAAGGAGAGTTTGGGGTCCCCAGGGAGGGTTTGGGGTCTCCAAGGAAAGTTTGGGGTCTCCAAGGAAAGTTTGGGGTCCCCAGGGAGGGTTTGGGGTCTCCAAGGAGGGTTTGGGGTCCCCAGGGAGGGTTTGGGGTCTTCAGGGAGGGTTTGGGGTCTCCAGGGTGCTGCCAGCTCCCAGTGCCAGTCCAAGCCCCCCAGCCTGCTCTTCCAGGTTTGATTCTCTAGACCAGGAGCCACCTCCCTCAGCTCCAGCGGTGGCAGGGACACCAGGACTGTCCCCACAGTGGCCAGAGGAGCAGGTGACGGGTGATTTTGGCCAGGAGGACGCTCAGGAGTGAGGTCCCCATGCCCTGCAACACTGCTCTGGGGACTCAAAACTCACCCTGGTGCCTTCAGCTCCTGGTGACACCCATTTGGGGACACCTTTTGGCACCCAGAAAGGGGTTTGGCCACACTGCAGGAAGGGTGACAGCATTCAAACACAGATTTTCTTTTGCTGACTCTTTCCTTGTAACTACCAGCACCATCAAGACCTTTCAGCTGGTAGGCAGGAGAGTAAAAAAATCCAAAATTCGTCAACATTTTCAGGGCCTTTCTGAGCAGGACCCAGCTCAAGCCAAGCTTTTATGTGTCCACATTCATTGGCCAGAGCAAAGGGACAGCTGAGAAATCCCAAATCCATCCCTGACCCCACGGAGGAGCTCCTCAAACACCTCCAGCAGAGGTGAGAGGTGCCGGGAGATGTTTTTTCCTCCCGGGGTGAGAGGGAGGTGCTGCTATTCTTTTTTTTCTCACAGCCCCAAGCCACAGTGTAATTTCCACCGAGCAGCAGCTGTTCCACCTGCGCCAGGGCCACGCAGGAGGGAGAAAAAAAAAAGGGGGCGTTTGAAGTCGGTTTGTTTTATTTTTTGGTGGCTGCATCTGTGCAACCGAAGTTCTTTGTGCAAAGGGGCCTGGCAGGGAGGGGTGTGCAGTGTGAGCGTGTTCAGGTGTGCACGGCTGTCCTCGCCAGGTGTGTCCCCCTCTCCCTGTTGGGGTTTTTTTTTCCCCCTCTGGGTTTGGACCCCCCTGTCCTGTGCTGTCCCTTCCGCCCACGTGGCCCTGGCCAGGTCCTGTTGGTTTGTCACCAGTGTGGGCAGGCGTGAGGAAAATCAAATCTGAAATGAAATCTGGGCTGACCCCGCGCCTGGTGCTCTGCCAGGGTCACCTGTGTGTCCTTGAGCCAGCTGTGAGCCAGCTGTGAGCCAGCTGTGAGCCCTCTGCACGGCCACAGCCTGGCAGGGGCACCAGGGACCGTGTCCCCAAGGCTGCCACTGCAGCAGGGAGGTGTTTGCGCTGAGCCAGCACCAAAAATGTGAATTTCTGAGCGCCTGAACCCCCCAAACTGGGCAGCAACCCTGAGGGACCAGCACCGAGCTGCTGCCACAGCCCTGGGGCCAAAACCGCTGCGTTGTGCTGGAAATGGGGGCTGGGGAGAGCTGGCACCCCTGGCAGGACCCCCAGGCGGGCAGGGGACATTGGGACAGCGCCTTTCCCCCACCTGGGAGGCCCCAGAGGGATGAAGGGCCCAGCCTGGCTCTCCCCCATCCCCACCCGGGCTCTCAAGCCGCCAAGAACGAGCCCGAACCCGCATTTCCACCCCTGCGAGGGGCACTGGGAGAGCTCAGCTCGGCCCCCAGCCCCCCCAGCTGCTCCCCAAAATCCCAGCTGGACGCGCAGACCCCTTCCCCCGGCTCTCACCTGTTGGCAGCGAGGTGAGCACCGGCTGCTCTCAGAGTCCCATGTCCCGCTGGGGTCACGTCCTCGCCATCCCCCGGGAGCCGTGGGGTGCGGAGAGGAACCCCCCGAGCCCGGGTGGGACCTTTGGGGGTGCGGAGAGGAGCCCCCCGATCCCTGTGGGGTGCACAGAGGAGCCCCCCGAGCCCGGCTGGGACCTTTTGGGGTGCACAGAGGAGCCCCCCGAGCCCGGCTGTGCCGCCGCCCGCTGCTGCTCTCCCCGCCTTGCCCCGGTTTCCTGCCTCATGAGCAAACTCAAGAGGAGCCCGTTCTCAGCTCGCTGCCGACCGCAAGAGCGAGTGACAAACCCTGATGGCTTCCTGCCATCCCCGGGTCCCCCCACGGCGAGGGGATGCTGAGACCCTCAGATGGGCAGGGCGTTGTCACCTGCTGCCAGCCCCCCTGGGTCCCCTGCGCTGGCGGTGCCCTGCTCCGTGCCGAGCTCTGCCTCTCGCACCCCCAAATCCCCGCTGGCACCCCGGGCACCCTCCGTGCACCCTCAGCCTCCTCCCTGTGCCCCAAGCTCCCCCGTGGGACACATCCTGCAGCTCCAGCACGGCTGGCACCGCCGTGCCACCTCCGCGGGGACAAGGGCTGCAGCTGAGGGGACACAAGGGACACGTCGTGCCCCTGCCAGCGCTGCTTTGGAGAGCTCAGAGCAGCCCCAGCAGCATTGTGCTGGCTTTTTTGATCGAGTGAGAAGCCACAGGCACAGGCAGGAAGCCCAGAGGTGTCGGGAGGGGGGGTTTTGGCAGCTTGAGGGGCACATTCGGGCTCTCCTCGAGTCCTGGGAGGGAGAAACAGCCCCAAAATGATCCCTGGCTCACCCCACAGCTTCCCTGATACTGCTTGTGCACAGGCTTCTGTCAAAGTCACATCCCCGAGTGGCACCTGGAGCTGTCACCCTCCCAAAAAAAGGGCCAGGAGCCACATCTGGAACAGTTTCTTCTGGAAGGAAAAACCATCAGCTCTCACCCTCACCTCCTTTTATTCCTCCTCAAAGAGCTGCTCCCCACATTCCCCACCGGGCTTGACCCCCCCGCCCCAAACACCCGGTGTCCCCTGGCGGTGGTGACACTCCCGTGGCAGCCGTGGCATCGCCCCGAGTGCTGAGAGATTTGGGGAGGGATCTCTGAGCCCCAAAACCCCCTGGAGGCTCCCCCGCAGGCTCCGGGGGCGGCTCAGCAGAGGGAGAAGCGCCGGGAGTTGATGTTCATGCGGGTGACGCCGATGTGCTTGAGCGGGGTGGAGAGCAGGAAGGCGGCCTTGGGGGGGATGGTGCAGAGCAGATCCGAGTCTTCCTCGCAGCCCTCGAGGCCGAAGGTGGCGTCGTCCAGCATCTCCTTGTGCTGGTGGCAGGCCTGCTCCACCTTCAGCCGGTGCAGCCGCGCCCGCAGCCGCATCAGCTGCTGCGCCAGCCGCTGGTCCAGAGCCTGCATCTCCCTCTGGGGGCAGGAGGGAACGGCGATGGAACGGGATCGGCTGCCAGGGCACGGGCACAGCGCGGGGACAGCTCGGCTTGTGCCGTCTGTGCCACCCCCGGAGCGGCAGGAGGGGGTGACAAGGCCACGACCCCCGCCGCTGCTGTGCGGGGTCAGGGGCAGGGCTGGGGCACCGCGGAGCCAAGAAAAATCTTGGAAAAACCCGTGCACAACCAGCAAGGAGGACAGAGGAGCGTCCTGACCTTGCCGTGTCCGGTCAGCTCGGGCACGGTGACCCCATCCCGGTCCTGGTTCCCGTCCTACTCACCAGCTCCGTCCTGAGCCACTCCAGA